CCTGGCGGCGTGGAGTCGGCTTCCCGGGCTCAGGACAGCTGCTCAGCCTCCCGAGCCTCTGCCTCCTCTTCCGCAGATGGGGCGAGAGCACCACCGGCACGTGGCACAGACGTGGCTGTGGGCACAGGGTTGGAGGGGACCGGCCACTGGAGTACGTCACCACCCTGGGTGCATCAAGCCACAGCCCTGGGCGCCAGGCAGGCTGGCGGCCGGGGTGGTGGGCGGCTGCAGGCCCAGGGCAGCCTCCTGCCTCTTCAGCTCCTGCCCACGTCCCTCTGTGACCCCAGGCTGGTGGCTGCGTCACCTAAGTCTGCCTGTCCCACCTCGGGCCTCTCCCTGTGTGGCTCTGTGTCTTCGTGTGGCCTGTGCACAAGGGCAGCAGTGGCTGGGGTCAGGCGCAGCCCACCTAGCATGACCGCGGCTTCATTAACGGGGCCTGCGGTGGCCATTCCCGTCTCACCAGAGTCTGGGGGACCTGCCGTTGGGGGACGCTGTCCCACCTGCACGGAGACACTGGTGGACACTTGGTGCTCCCGAATATGAGCGGCGGCTGCTGCTAGGGCCCCAGGCCCTGCTGGCCCCCAGGAGCGGGGTTCCTGACCCGTGGGCAGATCTTGCCGGCCCAGCCCTGGCCAGTGCTTAGTCCCTCAGGGCCCAGGCGCCCCTGGGAGCGCAGTGGTTCTCCTGGATGTTTCCTTGGACTCACTCTGATTCACAGGTCCTTGGGGCAGTGGGGACAGCCACTGGCCACCTCTCGGCTGCTCCCCTCCTCCATCCTGGCCACCCAGCTCTTGCTGGGCCCCATCAGGAGCACTTGACCTTTGCCCCACCCCACAGGCCCCTCTCAGGGGTCCCAGCCCACGGCCCCTCCCCGGGCCGCGGGGCCCACCTGCTGCTCCTCTGGCCTCATGGTCGGTTGGTAGCTTGGCCACCCCGGCTGGTGGCCAGCTGCCCTCTGTGCTGGTTGGCTGATGGCCTATGGCCCCAGCTCGGAGGCTCTGGCCTGGGTGCCGTTTCCTCCTCCTGCCGTCCCCTCCCGCCCCCCAAAACAGCAGGTAGCAGGTGCCCCATGAGGGCGTGGGTGGACGGGAGGAGGTGCGTGGGCGGGTCACACTGTCCATGTCCATGGAGGACATGCAGCCCGACCGCTGTGGGAGGCGCAGGAGAGCTACCAGTCGGGCCCCAGGATGGAGCCACAGGCGGGTCCCGGCCACTGCGGGGTGGAAAGGCCTCTGACCAACCTGAAGGCCTTTGTGAACAAATCCACGGCCCCGCCACGCCACCTGTGTCCAGCAGAGGTCGCCAGCTCCCGACAGCCTGGGATCCTTGCTGTCTCCCTGGACCTGTGTGAAGTTTGTGAGAACCGTCCCCCCCCCCCCCCGCCCAGCTGATGGGCCCACAGGTGCTCGCACACCGCAGCCCACGAGGGGACGACCTCCCGCTGCCCAGGCAGTCGGGCGCGAGGTCCCTTCCACGTCTGAAAGCAGCTTGGCCTTTCTCAGAGCTGTGAAAGACCCGGGTGTGCGTCTTGGGTTTTGGACACTCAGGAACGGGCCTTGGAGTGGGAAGGCTTTCAGGTATCTCCTGGGTCTGTCATGGCCATCACCACCCAGCCTGCCCACTGGTGTCATGGCCCCGGAGCTCACTGGAGCAAGTCTGGGAGTCACCGTGGAGGTGGAGGAGGGAATTCAGCTGGGTTCTAATCAGCTGTGTGACCTTAGACAAGTCACTTAACCTCTCTGGTCTGTTTACTCTTCTGTTACATCGAGTGCTGGATTAACTCATCTTGAAGTTCCTTTTGGCACAAGAGTCGATTTGGGGGTGAGAGCTACCAGTCAGGTCCCAGGATGGAGCAGTCCTTCAGAGATGTGCGTGGAGCTGATGGTCCCACTGGAGTCAGGAGTGGGCCTGGACGGACCTGCAGGGCGGTTCCCCTCTGCTTGGTTCTCTGAGCCTGGGTTCAGCTGCAGCCCGGGGCCTGCTCCACTCCTGCGGGGTCAGGTTCTCAGTGCGACAGGAAGCCTGTCCCTCATTCCCAGCCCCCTGCCCACCCTGGCCACTGCTGCTCCCTGCGCCCAGGCTGGCCCTTGCTGGCCCTGAAGTGGGCGTTGCTCGGGTTTGCTCCCTCCTGCTCCCTGACCCACTCTGCTTCAGGCTGCGGCTCCCCCAAAGGACGGCGCTCAGGAGTGTTGGGGCTGCCTTGGCACCGACCTTCTTCTCCAGGTCCTCACAACTCGACTCAATGGATGCTCAGAGAGGCTGAGCAAATATCCCCAGGACACACAGCCAGGAGGCAGTGGGGCAGGATTCAGCACAGGGCGCAGGAGGTGATGGGGCCTCATTGCTGCTTGGCCATGGCTGTGACCTGACCGGGGAGACTGGGGAAGGGCCACAGGCGTGGGCAGGCAGGGCCCCAGGGTGATGGGCAGGGCAGCAGGAGCCCCGTGAAGTCACTTGACCTCCCATCCCTTCATTTCCTGCTCTGCCAAAGAGGAAATGTTTACACAGTGGCCCCACAGACACTCGGCAGGCCGGGACCGCGGCAATTAGCTGAACAATGAGGGTCCAGCCGCTCGAGTGGCCCAGGCAATGGCCGGGGGGTCAGGCAGCAGCTTAGCTCCTCCCTCACAAAGTTGCCTCTGACCTGGGCCATGTCCCCTCCATCTGGAAGGCGGGGCTGGGTCAGCCGGCTCCAGGACTGCTCTGAGGCCCAAGAGTGGGTGACCCATGTAGGGAGGGGACGGGCGGGGGCCATGGTGATCCGTCCCTGCTTCCTCATCGCGTGGCTCCGTCTCCAGGCCCATCCCCAGCCCTGCACAGCGCCTGTGAGGTCCCAAGTGCTCCCCTTCCATTCCTCAGGGGACACGCCCACAAGGGCGCCCCGAGCATGTGGCCCGGGCTAGCTGCCCTCCCAGAGCCGAGCTCCCCTTGGCAGAGAGGCCCGGCCTGTGTCCTAGGGCAGCTCCCAGGACGGGCGCCCCCCGTGGGGGAGCAGGTGCCAGGGTGGTGGGCCTCTGGGCCAGGGGCTCAGGAGGTGGACTGCGCCCACCGCCTGTGTCCCACCCCTGGGCCGCGTGCCGAAGGCTGGGATGCCTGCTGCTGGCAGGGGCCGGGACCTGGGTCGCTGAAGGGCCAGCCTGACGCTGACCAGGGCAGCCACACCGGAAGGTCGTGTGCAGGAGGCAGATGAGTGGCGTGGAGACCCCGGGGGCTGGGAGGGTCCGTGAGCTTTGCCCCCTGAGCCTGTGGCTGGCCTGCGCCAGCCTGGACGCTCAGCTAACAGGCCACCCCTGCCCTTGGTGGGTGGGACGCAGGCTACCGGACCACGGGGACTCTGCTCCCCGGAGGCCTCTGGGGACTGACAGCAGCTGGAGAGACACCAGAGCAGGGCCACGGAGCCCTGGAGCCCTGCTCGTGTCCTGGCGGGGGGCGGCTCCCTCGCGGGCTGCTCGTGGTGTCTGTGCCGTGGGTCAGCCACAGGGGCCCAGGCCCCCTTTCCCAGTACGGCCACCATCTGAGGTGCTGGTATGGCTTTTGAGGGAACAGAGTTCGAGTCAGTGTTCCATGAAGCCCTTGGGCACGGAGACGCCGACCCTGGCCGGCACAAGTTGTCTGGGCCCTGGGAAGGTCCCCTGCAGGTCCCACCAGCATGCACTCAGGCTGGGGGGTGACAGCACTGGGTTTCCCTTGAGGCGTCCATGGGGCCTATGTGAAGCTGTGCAGGGGCCCCGAGCCTGTGGGGACTGTGGGGTCTCAGCTTAAACGCATCCCCCCGGAGCAGCGGCCACCCAAGCTCCGAGGTGGCCCTGACCCAGCCTCTCCTTGCCGGAAAATCCTCCTCCTGCGTGAGCGCAGGGCTGCCCACGCCACAGTCTCTGCCCCTCAGGTGGGCGCCCTCCGCGGCTGCCCTGCCGTGACCAGGGAGACCTGCTGCAGCCTGCAGCACCCCCTGCCCCATGCCCTCTGCCCACACCGAGACCTCCACAGACGACTGTCCTTGCTTTGTGGACTTGGTGCTGCGTTGTCACCTGGACAGAGGCTGCAGGACTGGCCTGAGCACTGGTCCTCCTTCAGGGGCCGCTGGCGAGTCCTCTCTGGTGGATGGGCTCCACGAGACCGCGTGGGACGGGGCGAGGGCTTTGTCCCCTCCTGCTTCTTGTCCTGTGTCTGCACCCCATTCCAGAGGCGCAGGGGGTCCTCTGTCCATGTGCACCCATCTTGCTGGCCCAAGGCAGGATGTGAACTGGGGAGGATAGGACAGGGGCGAGGGTCCACGCGAGGATCGTGTCCCCAATGCACTTTCCCGGGTGCCGTGGGCCCTGGAATCCGCATTGGACGGCAAGGCCAGGCCTCGCTGTCGAGGCCCCATAGTGCGAGGACAGTGTGGCTCTGGCTTTAGCTGGGACGAAGCTGAGCATTGTCCCTGTGGGGCCAGACCACGCTCCCCGTCTCCTCCAGAGGTTGGGAGCTGGCAGTGACCGGGCCTGGCCTCAGGCCTCCCAGGACAGGGGCTGGAGGCCGTCCCTCGCGGCGCTGCCCGGGAAGCAGGGGCCCTGTTGAGCCCGTGGGTGCGACTGCAGCGGGTGCCTCATTTCCAGGCCGAGACGCGCCTGCTCTGCGGCTGAACCCCGGGCTGCGTCCCCGGGGGTCTGATGGCCATTTCTGCTTTCCATGCGGTCACTCCCACAGGCTTTGGCAAAGGCACTGGTGAGGGGCTTGTCCCTCTAAGTGACATTGCCGGCACCTGGTGGAGCAAGGGCCATTGTCCCGGGGTGTCTCAGCTCCTCGCCGTTGGCAGGGGTTGGTCACGTCTGGGCTCTGCTTGGAGGTCCGTGCCCATCCTCTGTATTGTGTCCCGGGCATTTGAAGGTCACCCTGGAGGAGGACCACACCTCCCGCCCGCGCCACAGAGGCAGGGGAGGCTCAGGGAAGGAGAGGGCTGCCCGGAAGAGAAGAGCAGCCACCGGCCGCGGGGTCCAGGTGCTCAGAGCCTTGCCCTCTCAGGTGGCCTCAGCAGGGCCTGGGTTGGGGGTCCTACGCTGGACACAGGAGCTGCGCACAGTGGTCTCCTTGGCCCTATCTCCTTCAGGCAGCCGGGCTGGCAGGTGAGCCCGGAGGGAACCCTGGTGTTCGGGCGGCAGCTGGGGACGAAGAGCTGCCCGGAACGCAGGCCGCCGGGGGCTCTTGGGGCTTTGGGGTCCCAGCAGCGTGAGGTCCTGAGGCCCCCCAGAGCTCAGGGAGCTGTGTCATTAGGGGTGACCTGGGACCCCACAACCAGCCTGGGACAGGGCTTGGGGCTGCCAGCTCCTGCTCCCTGGAACCTCAATGTGTGGCCGAGGGTCCTTGAGGAGGGACGGACTACGGGCTTTAGCGCAGGAAAGTCATTTGGGATTATCTGGGCCCATCGCAATGTCACGGGTCTGGACGAGGGCGCCACCCAGCGTCCAAAGGCAGGGGGCCTCTTTGGGCTGCCGGGAGGGCAGGCCGCCGCACCTTGAGTCCAGGGCTGTGACCTCAGGGCTGCAGGACCGTGGGTTTGTGTTGTTTGACGTCATGGAGTTGGACACTTCTCGCTGCCGGCGCAGGAGAGACCAAACCAAGGGTGGCCAGGAGGGCCCAGGCTCAGCCCCGCAAAGGACGCTGGACACGCTGGACGGTCCGGCTCTGCAAGGCTTAAAACCTCTGCAGGGGGCAGGAGATGGGCACCCGCAGGGCGCAGGTGCCCGCGTTGCCGTCTGGCTCTGCCGTGCTCTCCCCCACTGCTCCGCGCCTGACCTCCCTCTTTAAGCGGATTTGCTGAGAAGGCACTTAAATACCCTCAGGGAGGGGTCTCTGAGAAACGAAGGGCCTGAAGCTCTGGTTCTGCGTTTTCCTGACAAACCTTCCAGCCCTGACGATGACCGTTTTACCCCCCAGGAACCGATGCTCACAGAGGGTTGGTGGCTCTCTCTCCTAAGGTCACACAGCTCGGGGCTTGACAGTAGATTTCTGTGTCCAAAGCCAGCAGTCTACCCCAGGTCACCTTTGCCCTAAGCCACGGCCCAGTGACCCTCAGATGCTGGCTGGCTGGCCATCGGGTCAAGAGCTGTGCCCTGCCCTCCTGCGGTGAGCAGGGCAGGGAGGAGACCCGTGTCCCCGAGACCAGCCACAGGCACACCCTCGCCCACTCTTCCTGGGGCTTTGTGAATGTTAATTTGAGGTCAATAGAATGAATCGGTGGGCTCTACAGGGGGGGTCAGTGCAGCCCGACCACCAGGAAGTGAGATCGTCCACCCACAGGGACTGGGTCACCTACTACGACAGGTGCTGGCCTCCAGCTGCTGATGGACACAGTGATGTGTGGCCTGACAGTCTGCAGGTGTTGGGCTGGGTGGTGGGTGGGAAGAAGCCCCGTCCAGGCCCTGAGGTCATCAGCCCACCTGTTGGCAGGGCTGGGCTGCCGTGGACATGCGGGGGTAGCTCTGTGGCTTTTCTGAAACCCACGCTGACGGCCATCACTCTTTTCTGTTGTGATGATGTAACTTAGAATTTAGGGAAGTATCACTCAGGGATAGGAAGGGGACAGGTAGCCGCCCCACAGGCCGCTGGTGATGGTCTCAGGCAGCCACACCTGCCTCCCCTGGGCAAAGCCGTGCCCGCCTCCCCTGGGCCCAAGGCTCCTAGGCCAGCCCAGGACACCCCACGCCTCACAGGGCACCTGCCTGAGACCTGCCTGACCACAGGGCTGCCCAGCCCACCCAGGAGGGGCAGAAGGCATCATGCAGTGACCTGGAGGCCCCCCGCCACGGGAACAGGAAGCTGGTGGGCTCTTTGGTGGGTGGACGCCTTAGAAGCCAGCTCTCCCGTGGCTTCTGAGGGACTGAGCCTGGCGGCCCTGGGCAGCCCCCCGCTCTGCGGGGTACCAGCCCCCTCTGCTGCTCCCCACCCCTGCTGAGCCTTCGCCTCCTGAGAGGCCGCCCACCCTCCTGTCCACCTCTGTGTCAGCCTGAGGGTCACGAGTGTCGTCTGCAGCCCAGGCAGGCTGTCCAGGGTGCCCAGACACACGGGCTGTGGTCCCAGCTGTGCCACCGACAGCCAGGGCGCCTCCAGCTGTGGCCTCTGTGCTTCAGTCCCTGGTGGGAGAGGAGGCTCCTGCACCGCCGCTTGCCTGGGGACCAGGCTGGCCTATCTTGGCCCCACAGCCCGGGGCGGTGGCAGCCTCGTCCCTGCCTCTGAACTGGGGGACTCGCGTCCAACCTCTCCGAGGGCCAGAATCCTGGTTCAAAGGTGAATAATTTCTTAAAATTCCTTTGTGTTTCTCTTGTGGGGACGCGTTCATGTGGTGATGTCATCACTGTGTGCCCCAGGGGTGACCGCAGCCTCTCTTTCAATTGGCCAGCAGGTGCCCCACAGTGGGCTGGTGGGCGGAGCCTAGACCGACGCAGGACGGGGGTGCTGTGCGGGTCGCAGGCCCAGCCTGGGCTTTGTCACGCAGCCTCAGGAGGTCAAGTACGAGCTCTGAGCAAACGGGGGCCTGCGGTCACAGTGCAGTGGGGGGCAGCCCTGCACCAGGTCTGGGGGCCAGCAGGTCTTCTGCAGCCCTGGGCCTCCCACGGGGCTCAGGAGGCATCGAGGCTGTGCCAGCCGACTGGCCCCTGGGTCCTCTGACGTTGACTAACTGGCCACTCTCTTTCTGGGGGAACATCTCAAGACGTCTGGCTCCTATTAAGATGTGACCCTCTTCCCTTTCTGCGGAAACCCGTCCTTCTGTGGAGAGGACCAGCCTGGCGGGAACAGATAGGCAGGGTCCACTTCTGGCCAGAGCCTCAAGGACAATACAAGGAACCCCTGTGTGTCTGTGTTGAGGTTCGACGCCTCAAGTCCTGGGTTTTAGTACCAAGCAGCGAGCCTGGTGTGGCTCCCAGGACCGGTGGGCCAGGAGCGGGCACAAGTGGACAGAGTGCCAGGTGGGCCCCTGAGCCTAGGTGCTTTCTGCAGTGGAGGGAAGGGCTGAACCTGTCCCTCTTGGCTCCCGACAGGGCCGTGCCCAGCCCTATCCTTCCGCCCGTGTCCGCCCTCTGTCCCCATTGTATTTGGCGGTGCTGGCACGGGGGACCTCGCTTGGCCACCATGTTCTGTAAAGGCCTTCTCACATTTTTCTTCCAAGACGGGCTCAGACATAAACAGTGCTGGACGGTGGGCATCCGGCCTCCGGGGTCCCATTGGCTCTATCCGGCATTTGTCATTTCCCCAGAGATGGCTGGGGGTGAAGGGTGGGGTGGACGTGCATTCATGTGTCCTGGGACTGATCAGGACAAATGGGCATCTCTGGGGCCGGGACCTGGAGCTGATGTTTTTCCTCCAGGCCACGTGACACCCCTGTCCTCTGCACGGCTCCAGCCCCTGAAGCTGGCTCACAGGAAGTCCCCGGCCTGACGGAGAGTCTGGCCCAGGCTTCTCGGCCCTCGCTGCTCTGTCCTGGGCTTTGAGGACTTGGGGAGGAATCACGGCCATCGGCAGCTTCTCTCAGGACCTAGCAGTGGGGCCTGAGGTCAGTGTCTGCTGGCCCCTTTGGCCCTGAGCAGGACCCCGACAAAGTCTCTCCAGGCGTCAGACATGACTCTGGGGTGTTCCTGGGGGCTGGCTTGCCGGGTGCCCCGCTTTAGAATGTGGCCGGCTCGTGGGGTGTGGGGGCCCACCTGTGGCCTGGCTCCTCAGAGGCTGAGGTGGAGGGGGCCCAGGAGCCCCTGGTCTCAAAAAAGCAAAACAAGGCAAACAGCCAGTTGACTTGAGGCCCAGCGCGCTCTCGTGTGACAGGCACGTGCCCGGGCTGCGCCTGAGCCGTGGGCAGACCCGAGTCCTCACCCAGGAGCCCAGCTTGGGGACCGGCAGGCGGGAGGGGAGAGGCTTCCTCTGCCCTCTGTCACCCGGGGCTGGCGGGGTGTCAGCATGGCCCCAGTGGGTGACGGTGGAGGAGAAACGGCCTGGCGCGGGGACACACCTGCCAGGGGTGGGTCCGTGTCTCACCCTGCAGTGGCCACCCCTCACTGGGCCTCACAGGGCCCTGAGCTCCTCTGGGCCTCGCTTCTTGGGGTCATCTGGTCAGGACCCGAGGGACAGTGCTGGTGCCCTTGGCAGGGTCCTTTGTTCAGAACATGGCTCAGCGCTCACCCCTGTGGGGCGGGAGATGGTTCCCGCGTCCTTTGCTCAACTCTGCCCTGACCTTGGAGGAGCCGCGTCTTGAGGCCAGGCCTGGCCATCTGTTTTATTAGCTGACCCTCGGGCGGCACGGTTCCAGACTCCTGCCCAGCCCGGTCCCTTGGCTTCCTCCATGTGTTCAGAGGGTGCCTGGGCACGGCCAGCCTTGCTCACGGCAGCGACTCCTGAGGACAAATGGCCAGGAGTGGGGTGCTGGGCCGCAGGTCAGCCAGTCTTAGAGACAGGGGACTCGCAGGGCCGACTCCTGTGACAGATGGGAGGAGTGGGCGGGTGGGGGATTGACAGCGTGCCCAGCAGCCAAGGGGCCCAGCGTCCCTCTGGCCACTCATTCAAATAAATCCCCGAGGGATCTTGGCGCCTGGAGAGGGGCCCTGGGGAAGTGGGCCTGGGGACAGGGCTGAAGGCTCCCTCAAGGCCCCTGTGGGGTCTCCCAGCCCCTCCGAGGTGTGCTCCCGCCCCCCGGGTCTCTGGGTTATCAGCAGCCGGGGATCTGCTGAGGCTGAGGACACATCAATGTCCGTGGAGGATTCGGGCTGACCGTTCCCCCAGATGGTCTCTGTTGAGCTTTATCTCTTAGGTGGGGGGCGGGGCTGGGGGCCTCTGGCAGCAGACCTCCCGGCTGCCCTGTGGGTGACCCCACCTGCCTCACAGAGGTGGACCTTATTACGTCAGTGGGGGTTGGTAGTAGCAATCACGGACAGTGGGGCCACTTGTCTGTAGCCCCTTTACACGCGTTCCTGTCGCCCCTGGACAGCTCAGGGGCCTGGGAGCCCAACTCTGGGCCAGGCAGGGACACCCCAGCCCACAGGTCCAGTGGCCATGCTGCCTTCTGCCCAGGCCTGTCCTTCCTGCTCTCTGCACTGGCTGGTTCGGTCTTCTCGGCCACCGGAAGGGAGCCCATGATGAGGCCCACTCTGTCCACAGGTGTCAGGGTGACCCCTGATCGCAGGCGAGGAAACCAGGGCCCGGGTGGGGACGTCGAAGGCAGCATGCGGCGGGAGCCCTGTTCCTGCAGCCAGGAAGGGACACTTGTCCCCAGGGCCTTGTGCCAGCTGGGCTTGGAGGTGGGACTCAGGCCTCCTGCAGGGAGAATCCATGGCCCCAGGGAGGGCAGGATGTGCCCTGGGGAAACAGTACCTGCTGCCCCTGGGCTGGAGCCACCCCAAGTCCCCACCGCAGCCCTCCCTGACCCCGCTTGAGAGGAGAAAACCAGGCCAGGACGGAGCATGAAGAGCGCCAAGGTGCTCAGGAGGGAAGTGGTGGCCCTGGGGGGCTCTGCCGCCTCTCGGGGAGGACGCGGCCCGTGCAGCCCCCGTCCCTGCTCAGGTCCCCTTGCAGCCCCTTCACACACGTTCCCCTGCAGGTGGCCCAGAGCTTTGGGCTGGTTTCTAGGTTCTGGGGACCACGGGCCATGGCCTACCTCCAGGGGACTCTCCTTTAGGTCCCTGAGGACCATTCCTGCAACTTGTATTTGGAAGAAGAAAGAACAAGGCGGACATCAGGGTCATTTCTCCCCAGTGAGTTTCCACGGTGTCCCTCGTCCTCCGGAGAGTGCCCTGGACAGGGTCTGCAGGTGAGCCCTGCTCTGCCTGCGTGTCCTGTCACCCTCCCAGGCCTCTTGGGTTGTGAGGGGCCGAGGCCACATGGGAGTTCTTTGTCCCCTGGGAGGCGGGGCTGGGGCCGTCATCCTGCCCTGCTAACTTGACCCCCAGGCAGCGTCCGGCCGGCCCATCCCTGCAGCCTGCGCGTCCAGATGAATCGTGTTGGGCAGGTTATCAGGGACAGACGGCAGTTCTCCCACCAGGGCAGCCAGGCCTTGGGGTAAAAGGGCAAAGGTCAGTGAACGCCAGGGCCCCATGTGGGATGGATTAAGTTGCTGTGGTGCTTGGGAGGCAGGCCCAGGCTCAGACCTTCTGGAGGAAAACGAGGTGGACTCCTTGTTTGGGACAGGCGGGGTCTTGTAGGGGAGCAGAGTCTGTGAAAGGGGGCCTTGGTGTCTGCACGCCTGACTTTGGGTGCAGAGTGGGGCGCGGGTTGAACCCCTCAGCCGGGGTCCACGGGTGAGATGGGTCAGGTGGGGTGGAAGGGATGGGCTTGGGGGCCACGAGCCAGCCTGAGTGTCTGAAACTCAGGGGCTCTAGAGAAGTCCTAAGGTTCCTCCAAGAACATTCTGGAACAACAGAACCAGGGGATCTGGAAGGCAGCTATCTGATCTCAGCAAAGGCTGCCTTTATTTTGGGTTACAAAAGAGGTGTAGGCTATTCTAATCATTCATTAAAGAAACATTTATGAAGCACCTGCTGTGTGCTGGGCCTCAAGCCACTAGACACAGCGGTGGAAAAGGCAAGGCCCGGCCACCCAGAACCCTCTGCTCTGTGGGGCCCCAGCGCTGACGGACAAGAGCAAAGCGGGAGAGCGACTGCGCCACTGGCTCGGGCCGACGGGGCTGTGGAAACAGAGGGCAGCAGGGTGGGGTGGCCGCCGTGGCCTGCGAGAGACTTAGAAAAGGTGGACAATAGGGTCATGCCACAGTGGTTTCCAGGGTTGGGGCTTCTTTTGACCATGAATTCTGGACCCACCTGAATCCCCCCAGGGGAGCCCCCTCCTCCCACCTCTGCTGGGGGACCTCGGCCTCCTGTGGTTCCTGGGAGGCGGCCCCCTGCTCATCCTCCTGTTCCCACAGGGGGCACGTGAGCACATGGGGTGGCCGTGCCTCACCATCCCCAGCCTCGCTGGACGTGTCCCCGCATGGGCACAGACTCCCTCCTGGAGGCCCCAGGGGTCTCTGGAGTTGGGTCCGGTGGCCTCCTAACACCAGGTGTGACCGCCAGTGCTGATGATGCCCGTGTCCCCAGTCAGGAGTACAGCCCCAGCAGCTGCGCGAGGCCCACTGTCACAGAGCAAGGCCGGGAACTGGGCTGCGAGTGTCTGCTGTGGGGACGTGGCAGATGCGCCACCACCGCAGACAGGGACCCTGGGTCAGGAGGCCACAAGTCAGGGTCGCGGTGGCAGGGTGTGCTGCCCCTGCGGGCTCTGCTGGCGGACCCTCCTGCCTGGCCGGATCTGGGCTCCAGGGTCCTGGTGGTGGCCATCCCTCCAGCCCCCGCCTCCCCTCACGTGCTCTCTCCTCCTCCCCGTGAGGGTGCCAGGGCTGGCCCTGCCCACTCGAGCCCAGGACAACCTCATCTGAAGACCCTTTACTTAGCCACACCTGCAAAGACCCTCCTCCAAATGGGGTCACCCTGAGGGGCCTAGGCAGCCGGTCACCAGTGGTGACGCGCTTGGTCAAAGGCTTTCTGCAGGCCTGATGTGATCACGCGACCCTCCTTTCTTCACCTATTAATGTGGCAAATGACTTTGTTGAATGCAATTCCTTGAGTTTTTAAAAAAATATTATTTAATTGTAGGTGAACACAGAGTGTCTTTACTTATTTACACGTGGTGCTGAGGATTGAACCTAGGGCCTCATGCATGCAAGGCAAGCACCTCACCACTGAGCCACAGCCTCAGCCCCTCACTAAATTTTTGATGAATAGAAAATGACAGTTTTAAGTGCTCCCTATATCCATTGTGAGGTCTTCCTGGCTGAGTGGCTTTAGGTCAGTCACTGAACCTCTCTGGGCCTCAGGTTCACTTGGGCTGCACCATGGATTTTGAAGGCCCCTGCAGCGTGGGTGGTGGTTGGTGGAGTGGACCAGAGACTCGCCTTTCTGTGGCTTTGCCATGGGCCAGCCCAGCCTGAGTGCTCACACTTATTAAGTGTCTGTTGTTTGCTGGACCCAGTCAGGGTTATGAGGTGTGCATTGTGACCTGCACTGGGCAGAGCACAGAGACAGCTGGTGACAGCCTGTGGTCACCAAGTGAGCTGAGGCTGCTTCCTATCAGCCTCGGGTGGCGGGGCTGGCATGGGCCACCCTGCCCAGCACAGCGGCCACATGTGGCACAGGTGTCTGAAGTGTCACAGGTCTGAGCTGGGAGATGCTGTCGGGCACAGGGAGGTCTTGACTTCCAAGACGGGTACAAAGGCGCATGCAGCCTCTCACCTGTGACTCTCTATTGCATTTCAGGCTGCAATGATACTTTGTATCTATTGGGTTAAATAAAATATTTTGAGGGGGAAACTGATTTTCCTTTTGTTTTGCTGTTTTCATGGGACTGGAAGAGCCTTGTTGGCGACGGGTGGCTCTGGTTGGTTTCCAGGCACAGTGCTGCTTGGACCCGAGGCCAGGCTCGGCCTGTCTGCTTGTGGATAGTTTTGTTGGTGCCCGGCCATGCTGCTGTCCATGGCTGTCTGTGGCCCTGCTCTCACTACAACAGCACAGCTGAGAACCTGCGCTGGGGACTGACCACGAACCTGGATGGTCTCCTCCTGGGCCTAGGGGACACTGCTGGCCCCGCGGCATAGCCACATCGGGGAGCCGGCTCCTGGTCTTGGCCACCTCTAGGGAGAGGTCTCCGGTGATTGACTTTCCTCCCGTGTGTCTCTGTCTTTTCCAACATTTCAGAGATGAAAACATTACTTTTGACAATAGGGATGAAAAATCATAAATGCTTTTAATCACAAATAACTGTGAGCAGCAGAACAGAAAAGGGCGCCACAGGTGTCCCCGTCCCTGCTCCAGGAGGCCTGGGAGGACCCCGCGGCCTCTTGTGAGGGCACAGACCCCCTGTGTGTGCTCTCCGAGGGCTGCTCACCAGCCACGGGGCGCAGAACTCGGGTCTGAGGAAGACAGTCAGAGGCAGCCCTGAGGAGGCCGGGCCGGGTGGGGGTCCGGGAAGTGGGGCGCATCTGGTTTGTGTTAGGTTTATAAGGCTGACAGCAAATAAGGGTATTAGGGCTAATTTACTTATTTAGAGAAAGACGTCTCAGCCCCAGAGTCCCTGATTGGGGGGAGTGGCTCTCCCGGGCCTGCAGGGGAGCCTGGAGGAGGGGCCTGCCCTGTCGAAGCCGGTGCCATGCTTGGCATCTTAAAAAGTGGCCCTGCAAGCACAGGTGGCCTGGGGCTGGACCAGGGCCCCATCCCCTCCTTCCGCTGGGGCTTGTCCCTGCAGGCTTCCGACTGTCCTGTTGCCCTCTTGGACTTCATTCCCATCATAGTCCCAAGTACAGGTGACTCATGGGGTGGGGGAGGAGGAGGGGGGAGGAGGGGGAGGAGGAGGAAGAGGAGGGGGAGGAGGAGTAGGAGGGGAAGGAGGAGGAGGAGGAGGAGGGAGAGGAAGAGTAGGAGGGGGGGAGGTGGAGGAGGAGGAGGAGGGAGAGGAGGGGGAGGAGGAGGAGGGGGAGGAGGGGGAGGAAGGGGAGGAAGGGGAGGAGGGGGAGGAGGAGGGGGAGGAGGGGGAGGAAGAGGAGGAGGGGGGGGGAGGAGGGGGAGGAGGAGGAGGGAGAGGAGGAGGGGGAGGAGGGGGAGGAGGGGGAGGGGGAGGAGGAGGAGGGAGAGGAGGGGGAGGAGGAGGAGGGGGAGGAGGGGGAGGAGGAGGAGGGAGAGGGGGAGGAGGGGGAGGAGGGGGAGGAGGAGGAGGGGGAGGAGGAGGAGGGGGAGGAGGGGGAGGAGGGGGAAGGGGAGGAGGGGGAGGAGGAGGAGGGGGAGGAGGGGGAAGGGGGGGGGGGGGAGGAGGAGGAGGGGGAGGAGGGGGAGGAGGGGGAGGGGGAGGAGGAGGAGGGGGAGGAGGAGGAGGGGGAGGAGGGGGAGGGGGAGGAGGGGGAGGAGGGGGAGGGGGAGGAGGGGGAGGGGGAGGAGGGGGAGGAGGGGGAGGAGGGGGAGGAGGGGGAAGAGGAGGAGGGGGAGGAGGGGGAGGAGGGGGAGGGGGAGGAGGAGGAGGGAGAGGAGGAGGAGGGAGAGGAGGAGGAGGGGGAGGAGGGGGAGGAGGGGGAGGGGGAGGAGGAGGAGGGGGAGGAGGGGGAGGAGGGGGAGGAGGGGGAGGAGGGGGAGGGGGAGGAGGGGGGGAGGAGGGGGAGGGGGAGGAGGAGGAGGGGGAGGGGAGGAGGGGGAGGAGGGGGAGGAGGGAGAGGGGGAGGAGGGGGGGGAGGGGGAGGGGGAGGAGGGGGGGAGGAGGGGGAGGGGGAGGAGGAGGAGGGGGAGGGGAGGAGGGGGAGGAGGGGGAGGAGGGAGAGGGGGAGGAGGGGGAGGAGGGGGAGGAGGGAGAGGGGAGGAGGGGGAGGAGGGGGAGGAGGGGGAGGAAGGGGAGGAGGAGGGAGAGGAGGAAGGAGAGGAGGGGGAGCAGGGGTAGGGGGAGGAGGGGGAGGAGGAGGGAGAGGAGGAGGAGGGGGAGGAGGAGGAGGAGGGGGAGGAGGAGGAGGGAGAGGAGGAGGAGGGGGAGGAGGGGGAGGAGGGGGAGGAGGGGGAGGGGGAGGAGGAGGAGGGAGAGGAGGGGGAGGAGGAGGAGGGGGAGGAGGAGGAGGGAGAGGAGGGGGAGGAGGGGGAGGAGGGGGAGGAGGGGGAGGAGGGGGAGGGGGAGGAGGAGGAGGAGGGGGAGGGGGAGGAGGGGGAGGAGGGGGAGGAGGGGGAGGGGGAGGAGGAGGGAGAGGAGGGGGAGGGGGAGGAGGGGGAGGAGGGGGAGGGGGAGGAGGGGGAGGAGGGGGAGGAGGGGGAGGGGGAGGAGGAGGGAGAGGAGGGGGAGGGGGAGGAGGGGGAGGGGGAGGAGGGGGAGGAGGGGGAGGGGGAGGAGGAGGAGGGAGAGGAGGAAGGAGAGGAGGAAGGAGAGGAGGAAGGAGAGGAGGAAGGAGAGGAGGGGGAGGAGGGGTAGGGGGAGGAGGGGGAGGAGGAGGAGGGGGAGGAGGAGGAGGAGGGGGAGGAGGAGGGAGAGGAGCAGGAGGCAGAGCATCTCTCCTGCAGCCCAGCTCCCTGGATCCCCGGGGTCAGCATAACCCTGAGAGCCCAGCCTGGTCCTCATGGGATCCCTGGCTGTGGCTTTCCTGGGCTCCTGCTGCTGGCAGGACATCCCATCCCTGTGCCCAAGGTCCCCATCCCTGCACCCAGGGTCCTCATCCTACATGAAAGGTCCTCACCCCGGCGCCCGAGGTCCCCGCCTGGCCATTTCCCTAGGGGCTGGCCACGGCAGCATGGTGACTTCCCGGCTGCAGACACTGTGCAGGCTGCACCCTCGACCGAGGGCTCGCGCTCGGGGACGCTGGCTCTGCAGAGGGGGCCTTCTTGGAGTTGGTTTTACGGGAAGAACTCGGGCTTCGGAATGAAAGGGGCTCAACTCCCGCTTTGCCATGCCCACCTCTGGAGCTGCGATGCCCACCTGCGAGGTCCTGAGAGCTAAACCCACGGCTGAGCCGCGGGAGGAGGACACAGGAGAGTGGTGGCTGAGGTCCTCGCAGGGCTGGACCCAGGAAGAGAAGGCAGCCTTGCCGAGGGAGAGAGGCCTGAGGGGCCCTTGCTCTATCAGGGGGAATGGATGAAATTGTGGACACAGGCAGCGGGCAGGGGGCAGCGGGGCCTGTGGGTGGGTGGGCCTGGCAACGTGCACTGTTCCTCCAAGCGATTTCTGCCCCATTGGGAATGTCCACTGCCTCTGCCTTGTGCCCCTCAGCCCACAGCACGGGGGGCCCTGCTGCCTCCCTCTCTCCCCCCCTCCTCTCTCTCTCTCCCGCTCTGTGCCTCCTTCACCATATCTCTGGGGTCCAACATGGCTGAAGTATCCACATTGGTTCTGGTCCAAACAGCAGAATCCAGATTAACTGAGCAGAATAGTCCTTTGGATTTGGTGGCTGTGACTTTGGCAGCCCTTAGATCCCGTTTCCTATCAGATCCGATTGGGCTCCCACGAGGTTATTAATCCCTTCGCCAAGCTCCACCTTATAAGCTAGCATTATAGCTGTGAATAATTGTAACTAATCTATACCAATAATATTTTAAGAAGCATGAGGAGAAGGAGATAGGAATCTAATACTGTGGAGGGCCTGGGCGGCGGTCTCAGCTCTGGAGGAAACCAACTTGAATACTTGGGGGAGATTGAACAAACACCCACGACTGTCCATCAAAGCCAGCTCCATCCGATCAGGTTACTTTGCTGACTCCCTGGTGATTTGAACTCACAGCTGATGCAGACTCACGGGCCTCCCGTCAACCTCGTTGCTGGTGACCAGTTCTCAGTCCACACTGGTTCTCAGAGAGGGTTCCAGGAGGCAGCTGCCACCTCCCCTGGGGACGCAGCAGCAACACAGATTCTCAGCTCCCAGCCACCAGCAAATTTCTGGGGTGGTGGGCCTGGCAACGTGCACTGTTCCTCCAAGTGATTTCTGCCCCGATAGGAATGTCCACTGCCTCTGGCCCTGTGCTCCTTGTCCCAGCTGGGCACTTGCTCTTCGGGTCTGGGGTCTCCTGAGGCTTAAGGGAGACGCGTGGGTCTCCTCCCACTTGCCAGCTCATTGGACAGATTGGGCTGTGGGAGGAGACTGGCAATCGATTAGTGATGCCTGCATGGGCTCAGGTGTGGAGGGCTTTGAATCTCCCCTGAGTCAGAGACCTCCACCTAGGTCACCCCGTCCAGTTGGCACCGAGGCCTTGGCACCGGAGGCCCGATCACTGGAAAAGTTATCACTTAGTCAGGGGCTTGTCTGTTCATCTCCCAGGTGGGCCTGGGCTCTGGCGATCTACTTTCCTTAGGTTCGCTGTCCCTGTAGATAAAATCCAATGGGTGGAAACTCCCAGGACAAGAACACAGTGTCGTCCCCCCAGGAAAGTCACCTTTCCCTCCTGCCCGCTGGGAAGTCCTGGCTGTGTCTGTTTTTAACTTCTTTCTTTTAAGAGAAATTTTACTTTTGTCCCATCAGAAGAGGGGACGGTTTCAGGACAGAACACAGGTTAACTGCTGCACACCAGCAGAGGGCCCACCCCGTCCCCTGCCACCGCGGCCAGGCCCTCGGCTTCTCTCTCCTCTGCTCCCTTGGAAAGGCCATGCGGCTGGGGGCTCCATGGAGGCCTCAGGGGACTGAAGCCCACACAGAGTCCTGCAGACCCGGCCCGTGGGGCCCAGGATGAGTCCCCTGCTCTGGGCCACTGTGTGTGCAGGCAGTGGGCGAGCTCTGTGCAGGACTCCCCAGGGCAGCCAAGTGTCCTCCGGGGCACCGTGCCCGGCAGCTACTCCGCTGCCTCCCGCCCCCTTAGCAGTGGGGAGCAGAGCCTGATGCGGAGGCCCCTCCACGGCCCAGGAGCAGCGGCTCTGCTCCCCCACCCCCTACCCGGTCCTCTGGGGGCTCTCAGGCGGTGGGGAGCTGCCCACCATCCAGGTCTCAGTGTGCAGAAGAGGGGTAGGGAGGGCGGGGGTGGGGATGCCCTGACAGCCGGGGGAGGATGGGGGGGACCTTCCTGGAGGAAAGCTCTGGGATTTTGACCTGCACGTGTCCCTACGTGTGTTCCTATGTGACCCCCCCATGTCGCAGTCAAGATGTGTTCAGTTTTAAGTGGGGGTGGAGGTCAGGCGAGGCTGTCTCCTGTGGAGTCTGGGGCGGCTCCTGCAGACCCCCTGAAGAGCAGAGCCGGTCCTGGGTCTGCCCTTCAGCTCCCTGGTGGGGGGGGCGCTGTATTTCATTGACAAGGATCTGGGGGTCAGCGCTCATTGACAGCATGCCACCAGCACAGGCAGGACGGGGTTCCTCAGCCACGCAGTGGGGAGGAAGACATCTGTGCTCAGAGGCCTGCGTGGGCGCCCTGGCCTCCGAGGATGGCGTGAGAGCTTGTTATGGGTGCTGGAAGTTCCCTAACAGACAGAGGCTTTGCCGATGAGCCGGGCCATTTCACAATCCTCCTCCTGGTCAGCCCTGTCACGGCAGCACACGTGAGCAGATCCTCTGAGAGCCAGGTCGGGCTCTGGCTCCCATGTGCAAGGACAGCCATTCCAGGGCGGCTTCAGTGACCAGCGGATGCACCTCTGTGCACTGGGGCTCAGCCTCCGCGTCAGTCGCTCCTCCAGGCTGGGACGGCCCCCAGCCTGAGCACGGCTTGGGGTGGGCTTGGGAATGCAGCGCTGCGCCTGGCACACAGCCGGAGCTCAATAAGAGCTGCCCCTCTGGTGGGACCGTGGAGGGTGGGGGCAGTGGACACTTGGCTGGCCCCCAGGCTGGCCGAGAGTGGCCCGGAGCTGAGCTACAGGACTATTAAGGCAGGGTCTCCAAGGCCAGACGGCCTGGGTCGGAACCCCGGCTCTGCTCTTTCCTGCGCCCACGGCAGCCTCTCTGGGACGTGTGCCTAGTGCTTCCCTTAGGGCTGCGGAGGATCCCGTGGTGACACAGAAGAGCACTTGGCTCAACACCTGCCGCAGCCAAGAGCCCGGGAGCTGCCGCCCGACTCCTCCTTTTCATCCAGTATTTGTGCAGCGCGAGGGGCTGCGTGGCTGGGTCTCTCTAGGCCTGGGGCCGAGGCGGGGGCCAGGAAGGCCCGTCCACCCTGCGCACACTGACGGATGTGCCTCCTTTCCCTCTCCAGGGCTTGTTACATCGTGCTCGCATTTTAACGCCCCGATTTATTTTAAACATTCCCTCCTGTGGACCCCGCAGCCCAGCCGAGCAGGGGCCACCGTCTTGCTCACAGCCGGAGCTCAGAGAGACAGCGAGTGACCAGGCCCCGGCCTGTGGCTCAGTGAAGGCCTCGTTGGGCCTCCTTCTTCCTCGCCTCCACGGCCAGCCCGTGACAGAGACTGGGGTTCTGCCTCCAGCTCTCCCGCCGCGTGCCCGGCGCTCTCTCCAGGCCCCAGTCCTCCTGGACTTCCCGCGCCCTGGCCTGCCTGCTGCTGCCAGCCTGTGGTCTCCCCGGCCTTGGCAGGGTGCTCCGAGGGCCCCAAGGGCCCCGAGGACACCTGTCCCCCGCCCCAGGTGCTCCAGGCATTCCTGACCCCCACCAGGAAGGGCAATGGGTTGTAGGACTTTCAAGCCCTGTGGTGGGCTTCTGCTGCCCGCTCCAGGGCAGGCCAGCTCTGGTGGCCCTGGACTGGGCCCCGCAGCGCCAGGAGCCGTGGGGGGCCTGGGGTGGGGTGACGCCTCCCCGGCTCAGCCTCTGCTCGCGGCTCTGCTGCCCTTCCTCCGTCATGGTGTCCGTCCCTCTGCCCTGGTTTCTGCTGCACCCGTCAGTGGCCTAGGCCGCCCCCTGTGCTCGTCAGGAGTGCGATGGCAGGATGCCGGAACCTCCCACGCCGAACGGCCGAACCCAAGGAGGCTGGGGACAGGCAGGGAAGCAGCCCGAGAGCAAGTGGGACTGAGCTGCAGGAGGCCACCCCACCGTGACCGTCACCCTGGCTCTCCACACTCAGGGTCTTGGCTGGGGCCACCCTCTCTGTGGCCGGATAAGAGACCACCGACTGATTCCCCGTCTACATGCCAGGGTCGTCTCTGGTGGAGGGACACAGCTTTGCCTTTGTTTCTAGAAGACCCAGGAAAGGCTCCGGCTGGTCCCTGTGGCTTGGGGTCAGTCCTGAACTGGCCGGCCTCCTTCCCATTCTTGGCCAGTCTCTGCCAAGGAGTGGTGTCGTGTGGGCCAGGTGGTGCCTGCCAGAACCACGGGGTGCAGAGTGGGGACGGGCCCTTCTCAGAGCTGCGAGGGAGCTGGTCAGAAAAAGTGGACACTGACCTATGCAGCCAGTACCCTCCCGCTGTGGCCACAGGTCCCACTTCCCACTTCAGGGAAGTCTGACCTCCAGCCCGGCCTGGCCAGGCTGTTCTACCCTGGCAGGACTTTAGCGGGGTGTGTGGGGGACGACCCACCACGATGTGACCTGGCCCCTCCTGGAAGAGCTCTGTGGATGAGGTGGGCCGGTGTGGGCGTCCTAGGTCCTGCCCCTGGGGACCTGTGGCGAGGAGGTCAAGTCCCGTCTCTTCCCTGACCATCAGTGCAGCAGGACGGCCCCTTCACCCCCAGGCATGGCCCTCCAGGGGTCCTCATGGTGCCAGAGTTTGACAACAACTGATCTGAAGGTTCCAAGGAGCAGAGAGAACCGGTCTCGTTCCCTGGATCCCAGCCAGGCTCAAACCAGGCCCCAGGGGTGAGTCCAGGGAAGACCCTCTCTGCTTGCCGGGCTCCTGCTTGGCGTGGACGGGACCCGCGGCCCTCCACAGCCGCAGCCTGTGGTTGCTCCGCGCACCACCTGCCTCGGGCTGAGCCTTTCACTCTTAGCACATGTCCCTGTCCCTTTGGTGGCCTCCACACAGCGGTTACCACACAGTCTGTGGGCAGAGGGGCCCTCTGGACGCCACCCGTGCCCCTGCTGTCCTCCTGCACCCCTCCTGGACTGTTAGCAGGGGACCAGCTAGGGAGGGCTCAGGTGCCGGCCAGGCTGGCCGTCCCTCCTGCCGGCTGACTAATTAGGCCACATCTGGATCTAATTAGTTGTGGAGTCTCCTCCAGCGCAGAGGACGCCTTTATCATCCGGAGAAAAATGGCTGTCGATACGCTCCACTTCCTGGTGCGCTGCTTACAGGGCGGGGGCTTGGGCAGTGGGTGTTGGGGGTCGCGTCGGGGCAGTGGGCCGGTGGGAGTGGGGAGGGGTGGGGTTCAGAGGGCTCCGAGCAGGAGGGGGAATCAGCCACGCTGGCCCTGGCCGGAGCCCCTCCCTAGGAACCGCTCAGGGTCCCACCGTCCTTGGAGGTAGAAGGAACCCCTGGGTCCTGGGGTCACCTGGGTTTCGTGGCCACACCGTGAGTTTGCATCTTACCCTGGAATGAACAGGGCTGCGTCCTCTGCTCCTCGGGCCCGTCTAGGTCTGATGTTCTCACTCTGGCACCGCGAGATCACCTGGAGGGTTGGTGAGCAGGCTGCCTGACTCGCTGTGGAGTTTCTGCCCAGTGTGTCTGGGCTGACCCAAGGATCCACGTGTCCAGCAGGGTCCTCACCATGCTGATCAGCTGGCCCAGGGGCCCCTGAAGACTGTGGCTCTGCGATAGCACAGGCCCCACCCACTGGGGCTGCACCTGGAGGCCACCTGAGACCTTAACCAGCCTCTGCCGCCTGGTCCCACCCAGTGAGCCAAGTTGGTGGGCAGCCCCGTGGCTGGGGCTCAGGAGTCGGAGAACTCACTAAGCTATTCTAGTGTCAGCCAAGCCCGAGGCCCGAGGACCCCCCAGTGGTGTGACATTTCCCGCTAGGCTGGGCTTTGGACTGGGATGCTCATTTCAGGGACTCAGGGACAGAGAGCAATCTGTGGGCCACAGTTTTCCCCAGCTGAATAGGACTAACAAGCAACGATTATTGAGCACTTACTGTATCCCGGGCATTGTTTTAAAGGTATTAACCCACGCAGTGCTCCCAGCAAGCCTCTGGAGTGAGGCCATTGTTCCCCACTGCAGACACAGGAACCCTGAGGTGAACAGGAGGCCGAGGAGCTGCCCCAGGTCACCTCCACAGGCTGCTCCCCGTCCAGGGTGCCCTGTTCTAGGCACAGGGCCAGCAGGGCCCTGCAGTTAAAGTCTGTCCCTGGGAAAGTGGCAGGGTGCCAGGCCCTATGATACACGTGTGTGACTCGGGGGAGAGGCCACCAAGCTGTAGGAAACGGGACTCCAGGGTGAGGGAGCTGAACACCAGCGTGTGGCTGGGACCCCAGAGCTGTGCTCACGGGCACAGGTGGGGGCAGGAAGGTCCCTACGCTGAGGAAACCCCAGAGCCTCGGTCCCTCCTGGAGAGGCGCTGCGGGGCCTGGCGGGCCTGGTCGGGCTCCTTGCTCCCAGCTGTGCCTCCCTGGCTCCCTGGGCCCTCAGTGATGCCCCGGGCCGGGCCCTGGGCTCTCTCAGTGTCCCAAGTGACAGTTGGAGGCTTGGAGAGGAGGTGCCTGGGCTGAGTCCCGGGGAGGGGGGTCTCCAGCTCCCATCAGCCTTCCCTTCCCCTCCGGGCATGGCCACCAGGAACTCGTGACCCACATGTCCCTCCTCTTGTGAATCAGGGTGGACAGGAGGGGTGACCTCGTCCCAGGCCCCTGACAGAGGTGCAGAGGAGGAGCTGCCTCCCCGAGGCTGCGGCCAAGGGCAGCAGATTCTCCCGAGGGCCCCAGCCCACCCCTCCCCCAGGCACGAGGAGCAAGGAGCCCTGGACGCACCCAGGTGCCAGGCTCTGCTGACTCTGGTCATCTGTACGTGCACCATGTCCCCTTTTCTCTTCTGCGTCCCCCTGGCCACTCCCACCCGACTCCAGTGGCTGCAGTGGTTTCCAGACGGCTCTCCTGACCCCACGTCTCCTCCGTCCACCCCCAGACCCGGTCCTCCTGTCTGCCCCAGGACTCCCCAGGCCTCTGCTCCTGCTCTGGCCCTGGTAGCCAAGCTCTTCTAGAGACACTGATGGTGGCCTTGTTCTGCCACCAGGGTCCAGCAGATCAGAGGGAGGGAAAGACTGAGTCAGACTCCCTTGCCCTGCCCCAGCCAGCTGCTGGCCCCCCACCCCTGCCCTTGTAAGCTTTCCACGGAGCCAAGCAGCCTGTGCTGGGCGGCCTCCACCCTCCTCTTGGTCTCCCAGGGCCCTGCTGCTGCCCAGAGCACCAGCCCCCACCCGGGCTTGGGGCTGCTGGTGGCCTCACTTGGTGTGTCGCCTCCTCAGCAGGGTGCCCCTGTGGGTTTCTGACCCCTCCTACAGGCTGGAGCTGGTCTTCCCGGGCACCTGGAGGGCCCACAGGGTTCCTTCTGGCCCAGAGGAGGCGGACGCTCAGACCAGTGGTTCTCGGTCTCGCTGCCCATTGTGACCAGTGGGGACTTTGCAGTATCCTGACTCCCAGGCTGTGTCCCAGGGATTCTGCACCGTGGGCCATTTAGGGGCGTGGCGCTGGGCACGGTGGAAACTGCCGCAGTGATTCTAAGTGCAGCTGGGCAGAGACCCGCACTCTGCAGACACACTCACCCCACAGAACGGGGCCTTTTCCTCACATAGAGGTTATTTTAGATGTCAAATTTAATTACTTTTTAAAACACTTAATGTCTTTTTAAAAAGTTGAATGGCTTTTAAAAAAGACTTAACACCCAGCACTCAGACGCTTCCTCATATGGCGCTGTCCTTGGCATTTTAGGTGGGTTGGTATTTCAACTCCACAGCAGCCGTTTTACACAGGACGGCCGAGACGGGGAGGGCATTCTGCCCTGGCTCCCATAGCGGGCAGGGCAAGGATGGGCTCTGGCCCAGATGGAGGAAGGTGGGCGCCACGCCTGTGCAGGTGGCCACCCGTCTCCAGCAGCTCCTCCGGGGGAGTATGACGCGGAGCACCACGGGCGTGCTGGGTGTGGTGTCTCCCGCTCACTAAGGTCTGTGCGCAGTGACCGAGGAGGAAGGTGGGCTCCAGGTGCCACTCAAAGCCCTCTGGCCACCAGAAGCAGGCATCTCCCTCTTTGGGAAACAATAGCTTAGGGAAAGAGCCTCCCTGTGGGGACCAGGACACTAGCTCTGCCCCGGGGGCCTTGGCAGAGGCACGAGACCTCCCCGAGTACCAGGGTGCATGCACTCAGACGTGGAGATGGTGGCGCAGACCTCGGGCAGAGGCCACTCTCCTGTGGAGCCTGGAGCTCCAAGCTGCAGGCTGCCCCGTCGGGAGCCTCAAGCCAGGGTCCTGCCGGGCTGGGCACCACCCAGGGGGGTAGGGTTAGTCTATAAATAGGCCGAAAGGCGACTAAGAATTTCATAGAGCTGTAACCTTCTCCAAATAATCTCAAAGGCAATAAACTTTGGTGGCGAACCAAGGGTTCTCAATGTTTTTATGACCAGACCCCTTTAACGGCCGTCTGGGCATTTCTCATGACCCCCAGCCCCTGCTGGCCTATCAGACAGCTGTGCTTATCAAACCACCTCCGATTAATGGATCCCCAAGTAATGAGAGATGCTCACCAAATAAAATAAGAATATAATTATAATTAGAGTCTGTAGCAACAGAATCGGATGCATATCCACATGTGAAAGGCAAGATGTCAGGACTGTAAGAGAGGAGGAGACCGTCCCCGAGACCTGGGCTCCGACAGCCTTCTCGAGCAACCCTGGGCGCACGCCACGACCATCCAGTGGTCTGGGCATCTGACTAGATGGGAACTAGCACACAAAATTCTCCTGCTCTTACCAAAAACGAAACAAAC